GGGCCACACCGGGCCACACCAGGCAGCACCAGGCCACACTGGGTCACACCGGGCCATACTGGGCAGCACCGGGCCACACTGGGCCACACCGGGCAGCACCGGGAAGCACCAGGCAGCACCAGTCCACACCGGGCCACACCGGGCCGCACCGGGCAGCACCAGGCCACACCAGGCTGGCAGCTCTCAGCCGGGAAAGCCTCCCTGGGAAGTGGCGACCCCCCCACACCTGCAGGTGTGGCTCCTTGGCAGAGCGCAGCACCCCTCATCTCTGCCGTCCGCTCGAGCCCGAGGCCCACAGAATCGCAGCCAGACGGGGAGGTCAGCAGCCCAACCCCCCTCGCTCGCCCGTGATCACCCTGAGGCCCAGCAGCTGGCGGAGGTGGATCCGGAGCCCAGCCTCCTGCCTCACAGCCAGGCCCAGCGGCCAGGGAAATTGGGAAGCTCTTCCACCGCCTCGCACCAGGTGTCAGCGGGAGGGAGGTCCTGGGAGCCACCTGAGGACGGGCTCATGGGAAAGGTGGCAGCAGAGGTGTCCCCGGGGCTCTCAGCGCTCAGGCTCCTAAAGGAAGACGCTCACCCAGGGCCACAGCGCCGACTTCAGAACAGAAGTCACTCCACAGAGTGTGAGGTCCTCCCTGCAGGCACAGGCCCACCGCCCGGCTCACAGGTGGCCACGTGACCTCCTGAGCTAGAACTCCAAGTACAAGAAAAGTAAATGTAAAGAACATGAAGCCCCAGCCAGGTAGCTCATTTGGTTGGAGCCCGGTCCCGGTTCGCCAAGGTTGTGGGTTCGATCCCAGTTAGGCACAGAGGGGGCTCCATCAAGAAATGCATCAGTAGGTGTAACAACAAATCAGTGTCTCTCTCTCTCTCTGTAAATCAATTTTTAAAAACTTTAAAAATCAAAAACCTAAAGCTGCAGAAAAGGATAGAAAACAATGCCACGAATGTAATGAGACCCCCCCCCCCCAGTCTGAATTTAGCACATGCCACCACCCCCCCCCCGTCTGAATTTAGCACATGCCACCACACTGGCACCTGTGTGTGTGTGTGTGTGTGTGTGTGTGTGTGTAAAGAAATAAAACATTTCGGATAAATGTGAAGTCCCTGTGTGCCCCAGTCCGAGTCCATTCCCCCAGACGCCCCAGGGGGACCCTCCAGCCTCATTTTCACCTGTCACTAGCGCGCGCACACACACACACACACACACACACACACACACACACACACTACATATCCACACACTCACCTTTCACTCACTCACTCTCTCACACTCTCTCCTCACTGCCATTTTCCACGTCTCAACAATCCAGACCAGATCTTGATTTAGCAACCTCAGTACTTGATAGGTTGAATGCATGTTCAACTCACGATATTTTCAACTTAAGACGGGTTTCCGACATCGCCCCGTCGTCAGCCCAGGGGCATCTGTACCCGTGAGTGGTCGTCAGTCTCGCTTTGAATGTTTTTATACTTGGAGTCGATGTCAGGTGCGACCGTTCGGGTCGCGTCAGTCCCCACCCGAGATGATCCAGGCTCAGGCCCTGGCTCTGGCCCCCTCTCTCCACAGCACGTGTCGCCCCTCCCCCCTGAAAGGCGACCGGTCACGTCCCCAGCTGCTCACAAGGAGCAGTGAGAGCCCTGTCCCCTGTGAACCTCTTTACACGCACCCCTGAGGTCGACACTGTTACACAGACCTGGCCGGGGACCTGTGGGAGTGACAGAGTGTTGGCCAACATCTCCTGAGCATCAGCAACATGACAGCACTGTGCGAAGAGGTTTCTACCCATCACCTTACACATAGTGTGTATATACACTAGAGGCCCGGTGCATGAAATTCATGCGGGGGGGTGTGTCCCCCTCAGCCCGGCCTGCACCCTCTCCAATCTGGGATCCCTCTCACAAGCCGAGACTGCTGGCTCCTAACTGCTTCTGCCTGCCAGCCTGATCGCCCCTAACCACTCCCCTGCCAGTCTGATTGACACCTAACTGCTCCCCTGCCAGCCAGGTCGCCCCCAAGTGCCCTCCCCTGCCTGCCATCTTGTGATGATGTCACGTGAGGGCGTCACGCAAGGGCGTGACACCACCTAGGCTTTTATTATATAGGATGTGTGTGTGTGTGTGTGTGTGTGTGTATTTAATTGATTTCGAAGAGGAAGAAAGGGGGATAAAGAGATAGAAACATTAATGACAAAAGAGAATCATGGATTGGCTGCCTCCTGTACACCCCCCACTGGGGATCGAGCCCACAACGCGGCTGGGAATCGAACCATGGCCTCCTGGGTCATAGGTCAATGCTCAACCACTGAGCCATGCCCGTCAGGCCTCATGTTATTCTCTGCATCTTTTTTTCTTTCTTTTTAATCCTCAACTGAGGATATTTTTCATTGGCTTTTAGAGAATAGAATAGAGAGGGAACGACAGAGAGAAACATCGATGAGAGAGAAACATCGCCTGGCTGCCTCCTGCATGTGCTGTGACCAGGGCCTGGGCCAGAGGGGAGCCCGCAACCAAGTCCATGCCCTTGACCGGAATCGAACCCGGGACCCTCTGGTCCGCAGGCCGACGCTGTCCACTGAGCCACACGACCAGGGCCACGTCTCTGAGTGGCTTCCGTTCCTCCCCAGCTTCACAAAGAAAGCAGCTGAAGCTGAGGAAGGAGACGATCTTGCTGAGGCCACACAGCTGATGCAGGGGCCTGGGCTCCCAGCCTCTGAGCCAGCGGTTCTCAAAGTGAGGCCTCAGAGCAGCAGGAGCAGCAGCGGGCAACGCCTGGAAATGAGACTCCTCCGGCCCCATCCCGGCTGACGCCATCAGGAGCCTGGGGCCGGTCCCGGGGCCTGTGGTCCAGCAAGCCCACAGCATCGCCCTGGTGCCCGCTCAAGGCTGAGAGTCAGCTCCAAGCGCTGTTTCCTCTCCCCACGCCCTCCTCCCCTCCCCCTTCCCCGAGCCACAGGGCCTGGCGTTAGCCGCCAGGATGTGGAATCCAGAAAGTGTAACGGGTTTGGCGGGAGCTCAGGGCATGCATGTGCCCTGTGCGCAGTAACTGGGATTCCACAAGCACAGTAAACGCAGCCCGATGACCGGCACGTGTTCCCCTTCACGAGATGCTGCCAAGGTGCTCTCCAGCGCGGCCGAATCCATCCTCCAACCAGAAAGAGAGCGGGTCCCGGTCTCAGGACCTCTCGCCACCAAGTTGCAGTCAGAAAAATTCTGATTTTTGCTCATCTGGGATTTTAATTTGCATTTCTCCAACTCATGGGAATGCTGAGCGTTCCCTCTGATTGGCCAGCCCAGCCCAGCGCAGAGACGCACCCGGTGAGGTTGGGAGGATGGCCCAGCTGGCTTCGCAGCTGTCAGTCAGGGACTTGCCTGCTGATGCCCCGGGCACGGGGCGCCCTGAAGCCCCTGACCTCGCCCTTTCCCCTGGTGGCAGCCCCCGCGGGGGTGTCTGGGGACCCCGTGGTTGGCCGGGGACCCCGTGGCTGGCCGGTCCTGGAGCAGGAAGGGACTGGCTCGGATTACACCTCTGGTTGAGGCCCAAAGGGAAGCCTGTGTGACCTGGGCACCCCCGCCCCCCCCACCCTGG